GAGAGAACATGGCAAAAGATCCTGGACAGAACCTGGCTACAGAACTTGGCTGGAGAACCTAGACAGAACATGGCAGGAGAACCTGGATAGAACCTGGCTGGAACCTGGCTACAGAACCTGGCGACCGAACCTGGCTGAAGAACCTAGACAGAACTTGGCTGGAGATCCTGGAGGGAGAACCCAACCATGCTGATCAACTGAATGCTGCCTTTGAGTCCTTCCTTCTTCGCCGACTCCATCCACACCTTTGGGAACCCCTGGACCTGCTGGGGTTGGACCCCAGCACCTAAAGTCCTACATGGCCCAGCTTGGAGCAGACCAGCTCTGCCAACCTCTTAAGTCTTACTTCAGCTCACTACCCCAGCACACTCTCCTTTGTGGTTCCAGCTCTTACCCATTGTTCTCTGAATTGTGTGGCTCCCCACCCACATCTGCCTTAGTGTAGGCTGCTGCTTTGGCATACTCAGGCCCCTTCATAAGTCCCATTTGCCCTTCAGGACTCTGTGCCCACTGAACCAAGAAGTAGTTCTTGTTTCCACACCTTTCCTCCAAAGTTGAGTTCTGGTCTTCCATCATACTATGTCATGCAGACCTTGGTCACCGTACCCATCATATTGGTTTATAATGGTTGACTGCCTTGTCTTCCTCCCCTGCCAGACTGTGAGTCTGAGATTGCAGGGAGCCTTTCTTTTTTATCTTCCTATCCCCAAAGCTTGGCACAAGGCTTAGAATATAATAGCTGCTAATAACCGATGAATGAAAGGATGAATCAGTAAAGACTTACTTGGGAAAATACTACTCCAGAATGTAATGTTGCCACCTACTTGCTTGTGGTAGAGGATTCCAGGTTCCTTTCATTCTGGACCACTTCCCTCCAAGTCTCCATTCAGGGTGACACAACATTCTATAAACCATACCCCTGCCCTGCAAGCTATGGAATACATCTAAGCCTACTGAGATGGTGGTTCTTAGTGACATAGAGGGAAAAGATAACATTCTTTGTGTACCAGGAGAAGGAGTTGTCTAGCAGTTGGGATATGGCACAACCATTGGATGTGGCACATTCTTTAGTTATTTGAATAATAATAATGGTGTGATAATTATAGCATCTAACACACATTTACATTGTAACAGATCTCGTTCTAATAGCTCTTAATTTATTATATCTTTTACTCCTCACAACAACTTTAAGAAGGAGGTAGGACTGTTATCCCCATTTTAGAGAAAACTCAACTGAGATTTGGGGAGTTTAAACAACTTTTCCAGGGTCACACAGCCAGTAAGTGGTAGAATCCAGATTTAAAACCAAATCTGTCTGACATCAAAGTTTATATTCTCAACCACCATACCATACCCAATAAATGACATTTCTCTTCTGAAACATGAGGGAGTGATTAAAATAAATGTGGAAATAAAGGAGATACACACACACACACACACACACACACACACACACACAGTGGCCAGATTATTATGACCACCTGACGTTTGTAGGCAAATTAGCCATACACTGCATCGTATGCGATATGGAAGCCAAAGGCCTGTTCGAACACCTTTGCTGTCTGCAGTTACCAAGATAAAACGTCTCCAATTTGCACAGGAACACAAGGATTGTACAGTCGAGCATTGGAAAAAAGTCATATGGTCCGATGAATCACATTTCCAGTTGCATCATGCAGATGGCAGAGTGAGAATTTGGCAGAAA